TTCACTGCACAGCATATGGATATTGAGCTTTTAATTTTTTTTTCCATTTCTTCCACCAGCAAACTGCTCAGTTATTTCCATTTCCCTTCAGTGTTTACAAACATCGGCTTTTACGGCTGCCTCCTGCCTGCCTACCCCAGCACTCCCCCTGCCACTGTGATATTTGCATTTCTTCATCCCCTGGCAGCATCAGTGAACATTTAATTGGGGATTTTGGAGCCCTAACATATGAATCCACTCTCTGGTTCACCCTGGGCTGCCTCCATGCCCCTTTCTCATTGGGGAACGCTCACTCCCATCCAGCACATTTATCAGCCCCGGCTTGGTTCCTTCTGGCTGTGATTTATAGGGAACGTGTACCCAAAGGAAACATATTTGAAGGTCAGATGGGAAGTGCCTTTGCAGCTTTTCAGGATAAACCATGGTTAATGCAGCTCTTCCACACGCTGAGTTTGTTGCGTGCCTGTATCTGTGCACACACATATATAGGTGTAAATAAAGGTACTGGCCTGGGAGCAGACGTTAGGCCAGGAAACTGGACCAGGAACATGAGCTTTCCTGAAATGGAGCTGCTGGGAAGAGAGATGTGTGCTCTTGTGACAGGGTTTCTATACCAGAACAGGTTTAAGGAATTGCAAGGCCCGAGGACGGTGATTAGATGGCAGTTTTGCAGATAGTGTCTTTCTATTTTGGCTGGAGAAAATAGCTTGGTCTTTTTTTTTTATTGCATTTTTTAAATGAGATCAAGACAGACACAGAATTAACCCAAGCTGCTGAGCAAGAGTCCCAGGGCTGACTGTGGACAAAGCAGCTCTCCCTTAGAAGTGGCTGAGAAATCACGCAGCCGAGTAATTTGAGCTGAGCTCAAACAAGAGTGCCCATTAGAAAGTGCAAATGGAAGCACATTCTGAATGCATGTCCTAAAACTGAACCAGTATTGGGATTTTTGTATCTTGAAGAAGCTGTGTCTGAAAACAAATGTTTTCTTGCTCTTGCTGCGAGGGTAGTTCAGTCACACTGAGCTCCTGCACTTTATTATTCCAGTGTTACATGCTTATCTGTCAGGTATTTGTCAAAGGAGGCTTCTCTGTGGACAGGGAAATCAAAGCGAAGATGTAGTTGTTAACACGGGTCGTGAGTTCTGAGTTCTTGACCATGCTCATGAGTTTCTTAACCAGCTTTTAAGGATGTCCGTGTCTGTATCTTTGATTTTCTTATTTTTCACCCTGTGCTTTGCACGAGACTGTTTAGTTCTTGGGCATATGCACCTCATACACCATGTGGCAAACAGGCAACAGCGGTGGCTTTGACAGAGCAACCTTAGGAACACGCAAACCTTGCAGCCTTAATGGGTATATTGGGCAAAAGCAATTTGCTGATAGTCAGACAGCAATTTTCTGAGTTTGATGGTTAATACGTGAACTTAGAGATCAGTGTGGAGGGTTCAAGAGTTTTCAATTTGGGGCTGTCCAGCTGGTCCCAGCAATTGTGAGCACTGCAGCGAGGGATGGTCAATCCAGAAACGGATGTGGAATCTGTTTTATTTGCACAAGGCCGAAAAAATCCATGAAAATGTAAAATCTTGGCCCCCTCATCAACCCTGCCTTCGTTTAAACTGCTGCTGGAGGTAATCACTCAAAGCTGCTCAAATTGCAGTGGTGACTTTGGGAAAGTCACAGCCAGCACCAGCCTGGCCACTGCCCGACAATATGTTGCAGCAGGAGTAGGTGTCAATTCTCTGGCTTTATTGCTGCTGATGGCTATTACTGCCTTCGGAAAGTCTCCCTCCCACTGATGGCTAATCAATGAGCTCAGCATCACGCCGAAAAGTTGTAGGTCAGTGGTAAAACTGCAACAATTAGCAAGTTTGCCTTTTGCGCCAAATATTGCAGCATATTTTCCCACCTCCTCCCCAAATAGTCTGCTTATTGAATTGTTACTTTTTTGACACTAACAGATGGTTCCTAGTGGCTGGCATCTGCAAAATTTGGGAACAGATTGATGAAATTGATAATGACCGGTTTCTGCAACAGATGGCTTATAGACAGATTTCTGTGTAAACTGACAATGTTGCATTTAAAGAGAAGTTTCCAATGAACCCACACATTACAGCTATGATTACAACGTTATTTAGACCCTGAAAAATGGATCCAGGCTTAGCATAAGCATTATGTAGTGTCTAAGACAAAGGTTAAGAAAGATTGATTAGATAATTAGCATCGCTTTATTAGCTGTTCACTACATCTGCATGATGTTCTTACATAAACATTCCCTGCCTAAAATTGCAATGATGATGTTTTAATATTTATTAAGCAGATAGGACAGAGCTCAATTTATTTGATAAAATATGGTTTCCTCAGATTTACAAACCCCATCCAGTGGGAAATTACACCCAGTGCAATCACAAATAGCAAAAACGAGCCCCCAGCCGCAGTGGAGATGGAAGCGTGCCGGATTCTGCTGTGGTTGTGCAAGGCTGCCCTCACTCAGGTGAGCTGAGCAATGCCTCACTGCAAGGAAGGTGGGCCTGGGGGATGGCTGTGGCTGCAGAAATGTCGATATGTTGTTCCTCTGCTCCCCAGCGACGTTCTCCAGAGCCTCTCAGCACAGCTATGATGTGCCTCACCTCCTTTTGGGTAGTCAGTGCAGACCCTTGTCTCTGCTGCCCTGGTGGTGCCAGTGCTTTGGCAAGGGATTTGGTAGCTTCCATGGCACGAGCTGAGTCTGGTTTTACAGCGCCTCTGCAGCTGTAAGTGTCTGAGATGTGGCTGCTGGTGTTTGCTGAGCTCTCTGATGTCTCTGTGAACTTTTTTCCCCTTCCTCGATCAGAGACTCTTGATGCTGTGAAACAAATTATTCAAAAACTTGTCTGGAGACCTTAATTTGTCTCGAAGCTTTCAGAGGTCAACAGTGCCGGAGCCGTGAGGCTGGTCAATGAAGATGTATGCAGTGTGCCCTAAATAAATCCACCTGCCTACAGAACTCACAGCAGGGTTGCCTCAGGTAGGCTGGGAGCTGGGGCAGCTCCCCAGAAGGACCCAATTTGCATCTTTACTTTGCAAATCTGCTCATTGCTACCTGGCTGGTATTTTTCTAGCATTGAGAGAAATGAGATTTCACAGAGGGTACCACCACATGAGAAACTAATGTTTTGCTGGGAAACTTGGAAACTTGGTGCTATGGGAAGTCTTTTTTTTTTTTTTTTTTTTTTCTTTTTCTTTAAAAAGAAGTTTTCTGCATAGAATTTTGTTTCTGCAACAGTATTTTTCAATCCAAGCACCCTTCCTGTAGGCAAAATAGAAATAGTTTAACTAAAAGAGGTGTAAAAACAAATGAAATTGGAGAAAAGTCCCTTAAGGAATAGCAGTTTAACTGAAATCAATTCCTCTGATTAAATTGGCCAAACGGGTTACCTAGACTTTAAAAGAAGGCTGCATTAATTTAACTAGGCAATAGTTAAGTTATATCTTGGAAGTATGTGGTATGTTGGTGTCTTACAATGCAGAAATGACGTTGAACACCTGCAGAGCTGCACGTCTATGTGTACTGCTTCACCAAAGAGGCTTGCTGTTGTTTCTTTTTGTTTTCTGTTTAAATGTAAAATGATTATATTTTTTTAATAGCTTCAGGGGTGCAGGGGTTTGGGGAGGGGTCTCAGAGGAGTCCAAGCTTCAAAACTGCCTTTTTCTGGGTGGCAATTTCATAGAGTTTTTTCTCTTAAAACATTCTCAGCTCTTGTTCTGACACAGACATTGTGATTGATGTGCAGTTTTCATGGGATTTGAGTAAGTCTGATGATTTGATATCAACCTGAAATTGCGATAGTAAACACAGAATTGAATTTGGCTGCAACTATTTGCATCTAGTATCAGATTGTGGAAGATAAGTGAAAGTGAAATATTTAAATTCTTGAAGCTCTTTAATCCTTTTTGTTCTGATTTTCTTTCTTTTATATGAGGTTCCTTCAGTGTGGAAAAAGGAATACAAATATGAAATACAAATGTATCAAAATGCTAAGGTTAGTTTATTTGCATAAATGCTGCTTTCACTGTCTGCTCTAGATTATTTTCAGTGCAAATCACTGTTTCTTGAATGTGCACTGCTTATAATGATTCAAAAGCTATTATGGCTTCTGCTCTGAGGGATGATCTACTTCGGTAGCGATGCCCAGAGAAACATTCTGCTTCCTAATCATTGCTCAAAGGCAGCTAATTTGCAGTTCTTCTGGTGTCAAGGAAAATGAGACATGCTTGCTTTAGTTTTTATTTATCTGGGTTACTTGGAATAGGCAGAGCGAGGGAGGTTGGAGCTGCTGGTATGAATGGAGGGAGCTGCAGGTCCTTCCTTATCTGCAAGCTCTTTCCCTGCTATGGTTGTACTGGGATTGGGGGATGTTTGCATCTCTCCTCCAGGGAAAGAAAGGCTGTGGATGCTCCTGCTGTTATGCCCACAGCACTGCTCAGGTGGCAGCCTGGAGCCTGGGCTCTGGCCACGCTCAGGTTTGGGTCCACATCTCCCGAGCACGAGAAGGTCCCATCCTGGACCCATTTGGGTTTATTCCTGTTACTCCGTTTTCTTGGTTCTTTCTCTCCAGCCTCTCAGTCTATTATCTTTTTGATAAGGTTTTATGAAGCCTTGTTTTGTCACAGCCCCTGTGAATCTTTGCATCTCCCTGTTCTTGGTCAAACAAGTCAATTCTGGTGAGGGAGCTGCACTTAATCACTACATAATGAGGAGATGTTTTCTGCCAGCCCGCTATGAGACCACTTGTTCACCAATCTGAAGAATGTAAAATAATTCCATGTGAGGGCACACTGGAAACTGTTTGAGATTATTTTTTTCTCTTGTAAAAATGGGAGAAGATATGCTGGATTTCACACTATCTATAAGCCAATGATCTAATGTCATCTTTGTAGTGCTGGATTAAACAACAGCTAAGGTTATACACCTCCTTTCCTTATTTTAAGTGCCTTATTTTTCTTTCTGTCCTTATCAGATGACAGGCTCCCAGGCAGGAAAAGCCATCCCCAGAGGCAGTGGGGTACTTGGGTTGATTTTCAGGATAGATGAAGAAACTCCTGCCAGAAATCACCCTGTGTTGTAGAAATAAAGCCATCCAACCAAGACATCTCCTGGATGCTTATTCCTATAGAAAATGGGTTCATGTACAGAAGTCAAAGGGATGTAGGTAAGAGCAAATGATCCTGGTAATTCTGGTTTCTGTTTTCCGGATACCCCTGGCACACAGCTTCTCAAAGGGGCAGGCAAAAGGGTGCCTTTTCCTCTCCCGTTCTTGTGACATGTGTGATCAATAAATGCTACCGGCTGCACTTCTACTAGTTCAGAAAGGGGTTGCTTTTGATCTATTTGGGCAGTGGTACTTAATTAAAAATTGATTGTTAAGGGACTTTACTGATAAGTAACACTTTTTTATTTTATTATTTTTTTTTTTTTATAATATCTGTATGTAACTTAATTTACACATAAAATTTAACTCACAAGCACTAAAACCTTTTTGCAAAGCCCTGCCTGGAACATAGCATGTTTTGTTTCAAGCTGCATCCACACCTTTCGGCCTTGGGCCAAGCATCCCTGCTGCCCCTGCTGCAGTCCCTGGGCACTTGGGTACCGTGCCACTGCCTGCTGCATGGGTTTGGGACGTATAAATAAAGCTTTTCTGGCTGCAGCTGAGTGTTGGCTGCAGGGTGGTTTTGCTCCATAAAATTTAGTCACCCCGTTGTCCTCCTGTGATAGCTGAAACCACAGGCATCCTGGGGGAGCTCCCCAGAAACACTACCTCATGTTTTTCTACTACTCCTCTTCTTCTCTTTTCTTACTGCTTCCTCCTGCAGAGCTGCTCTGCTCCCCTGTCGCTTGTCCCGCTCCACTTACATCGTGGCTTTGTTGGGTTTATGTATGTAAATATGCATATATTTTTACTATTTTGACTCCATCATTTTGTCTCTCAGGGCTTCAGTTAATACCGTCTTGCTTCTTACCTTTTATGCTCCTTCCATCCCGAATTGCTCAGTATATCAACGCATATCACCCTGTCACTCCTTGCCATGCCCATTTACTGCTGCTGCTGCTTCAAGCTGCGGCTCCACCTAAACAAGTGGGTGGATAAATTACCCGGAGGATGCGCATCACACCCCAGTGATCCCCGGGCCCTTCAGCAAGCCACATATTCCCTGGACACGAAATGACCTTTTTCCTCTGTGGACTATGGACAATAAAGGAGCTGTTTAAAATAGAGTGGGCTTAAGGTGACAGAAAGGCAGCAGTGATTTACCCATGCTATCTACTTTGATTTATAATTTGTGGCTTCTCTGCTGGGGGGGTGAAAAAGGGTTGTTTTGGCTTTCCATTTCTGGATTATGGTGTGGAGGGTCAAAAGCAAGCTTTGACTTCCTGTGACCTGAAGTAACATGATAAGAGTTCAGGAGCAAAATGACAAATTACCCTTTAAAATGCGAGCAGATGTCACGGAGAGTAAATTGGGCACAGAAATTGATTTCATGGTATTTGCCTCCCGCGTTGAGGTAACGGACGGGGGAACTTATTTAGGCTGTCAGCAATTTGGGGCACCGGCTTCTCTCCCCAGACTTGCAAAATACCCCGTGAGTTTTGTATGCTCATGTCCTCAGTGCTTGGGAAGTGATACGCTATTGCTGCCAACAACCAGCAGTGTCATTAAAACGGGATAGAAATGGGTATTTACCATTCACAATTTGCACCACCATGCGCTCCTTCAAATAAGTTGAGCAGCTGCATTTCCAGGGAGAGCTGCTGATCTCGGTCAGCTTGACGTTAGCAGTTTCTGCTCTCTTAGTTTTCAAAAGTATTTTTCCTGCCTCGATCTCAAACACGTAAATAATTCCCGTAATTCTCAGATTCTGGAAAATGGAATCATCATCGCTAATTGCACACTCCCTCTGCTTTCCTACCCAAAAGGTGCTATTTTTTTTTGTAAAAGAAGACATTGGCACTTTTCTGTTGCAGTCACCGGCGGCCGCGGAGGATGTTTGTGCTACGGTGTTACGGCAATCACAGCTCAGCAGCAGCTTTCATTGTCAGGCTGTCGACAATTCAGGACACCCTGGGTCGTGTTCATTTATTTCACTCTGGCATAATTCCCTTCGCAGAATTTGATACCGTGGCAAATGCATCTAGTTAATAGATTTTCTTAAGCAGATAAAATAGGTCATATGTTTTTAAACGGTAAAGGGTCTTTTCATTTGTTAAACACTGCTTCCTGTTTTCAGTCATTTAAGAGGATTTTCACCACACAAACTGATCCTAAAAACACTCCTCACATTATGAATTTATCTTTGTAACCGTAATAAAATCTTCATTTTTTGCTCAGTTTAACACAGCAGGCTTAAACATCTATTTAGCATGACAAGGATAAATCTGTGCTCTCTACTCACAAAATAGGTCAAACGTATTAAAAAGTATGCTCCAATGTCACTTAATCACCAGATACTACCTTTGCCGTAGTAAATACCCAGACTTCTTCAGGAGAAGAGTTTTGGGTTGAAAAGTTTTAGAAGGGTGTTGTGGTGTTTGGGCCTTAGGGATGTTCAGGAAAAAGCTGAAATGAGCACAAGCTGTAATTATTCATTCTACAGGACTCTGCTGGCCTGGCAACGGGAGGGAGGCACGGGTTCATCTGCTGCACCTGAGCGTGGGGCACCAGAAATGCCTGCGGCTGCCAGGGGCTGGAGCTGTGCTAGGCGCCGTGATTTATACATCTGGTTGTGGATGTCACCCATTTGTCCTTCCTGTATGACCCCCACAAGCACAGTTATCTCCCAGTAATTAGGTCCGTGGGGCAGAAATAGATGTGCTATCCTGTGGGGTCACAACGCGCAGCTCTTGCCACACCTGGAGCTGGCCCTGATGCAGCTGGGAGCTGCCGGCACTTTTTGACGGCTGCATCCAGCACCGTGCCTGTGCAGGTGCTTTGTTCGAAGCACAGAGAGCATCCCATCGACTCAATACAGAGCTGATAAACACTTGTGCAGTAAAGTGCGTCACAGTGCTGGCTCTAGCAACAAGAATCTCACTCCTGCCTCCGGAGAGGCATGAAAATTGTAATCAGATGAACTGGCTGTAGTGCAGCAGTGCCGTTTGCATGTGTATGATGTTGTTTAACTTTAGCTGTAGTGTGCTCATTTTTGGAAACAGAGTAAATGTACTAGCAGCAGCTATTTGACCTTCTCCTGAAATCCAGTGAAATGATGCAACAGTTTGCTGGGTGGTTGGTTTTGGTTTTAAAGAACTTCAACCTAGATGCAGACATTTGTGGATGCAGTGGTCCCTCTTGCATCCTTCCCCGCTGCTCTCTCAGCTCATGCAGAGCCACCTGGGCAGCTCCAAATCAACGTCCTGCATCCGCACCAACCTCAGCAGCTGAGCCCAGCTCTTCTGTCAGCTTCCCCATGGGTCAAGGTGTGGGGAGGTGGCAGGGACTCGCTGGGAGAAATGAACCTGACTTTGGCAATTAAGTTTGCAGCCGGCTTTGCAGTCATGGGCATGCACAACTGGAACTGATGGAGTTTCCTCTGCCTGCTAAGGAAAGCATGAAACAAATTATTTTCTGTCTTTGGACAGTTTGTAGTAGAGCCGTGAGGGACTTCTAATTGGAGAGCTAATGTGCACTTTCCAGTGATTAGGTAAACACATTTTTTTGTTATTTATTATAGCTTTTATTGCACGGACTCAACTAATTACAAAAATGTCCCTTGTAGAAACCATTTACAATTTTAATTCCAATTATTTTTTGATAATTCAGAAACATTTTTGCTACTATTCATCAGAAAGCAGAAAGTTAATCCATTCATTACCACGCTGAATGGCTGATTTAAAACCAACCATGGATTACAAAGTCAGACTGAAGGTGAAAAAACAGGACCTTGCTGTGCGGAAAGTTGAGGGGGAAATAGCTGTAAAAAAATACAATAAATCATCGCTGAAAAAAATAAATCATTTGCAGAGCTGTAGAAGAAAGGCAGTGCTCCACCTGGAGCATGAACAGTCCCATGTTCAATGAGTCCTTTTGTAACGGCAGCAATGGAAAATCAGGGACATGCATTTGCCCAAAATATCTCCTCTGAAATAGCTGTAGGTTAAGGAAGCCTGTTTAGTGGGCATCCATTAATGTCAGATTCCCATGGACTTACACAGGGGCTAAAGGGATCTTGCCATGGATAAAAGTAGCAGCTCCGTCCTAGGGAAGCAGCCGTGGTGGGTGCCAGAGGAGGGAGCTCGTTGCTGCTGCGCCCAAAAGACACCACGAATCCACAGCCTGTCTGCTGCTAACCGTTGCCGTTATGTGGTAGCTTTGCCAATAAAATGCTAGTTTTAACTCAAAACGTAAAAAGATGAAAAGATTCCAAAGGCCCTCCTAAGCACTGCAGGATGACAACGAATCTCCTCTGATGCCTTCCGCTCCAAAAATAGCAGCTCTGGTCCTCCCTGGTGCTTGTCTCCTACAGCAATGTGCTTTCAGTGGAGCTGTGCTGATACGTTTCTTTTAACATAAATGACCCTACTTTTTTTTTTTAATGTACCCAATCTGGGAATTAAGCATCCAATCTGATTTCCCATTTGTAAGATGTATACATTACATCCGGTGTTATTACACAAAGCTTCATCTCTAAGACATGTACAGCTTTTTTCTCTGTTAAGTGATTATGCTCTTTGATACGCAGCCATATGAAATCCTACAAAATTTGCTTCTGACTCCCCCATTTTGTATGCCAAACTCCAAATTTAGAGACCTATAAAACTAATTTATAGGATTCCCTGTGAAAAGCTCTGATTTCTATATATAAAAATACTTTCAGAAATGTGTTCTTACCATCTCTTACTTTCTCCAAGCATTTACTTAAATGCACTTTTCCAAAGACGGTTTTAACCATCAGAAATGGATTGCTGCTTAAAATCGGCTCAACAAGCCATGAATGCAGGTTTTAGGTCAGAAAAAGGAAAATATTTCTGTTGTGGAATGCTGTCCATCTCGCAAGGTAGGCAGCTTTGTGCATTTAATGGTTTCTCAGCTGGGCAGAGCTGGAACATCTGGAAGCTGTCTGTCCTGCTGGCAGGGCATGGGACACCGGGAAGGGTTTTCAGGAAACGAGGCAGAGCACAGGATGGGAGGATATGGGGAACATCATGTGGGAGCCCTTTGATTTGGTCTTTGAGTCCTTTAAAGACACACCCCTTGTTTTTCTTGCAGCCACTGTTATCAATGGTATTGAAGCAAGCTCCAGAAATACACACAGAAAGTAAAAAAAATGAAAACAGCAAAACCACTTGGATGGCACCAGGCTCATTCAGCAGGAGCTATTGTCTCCCCCACCCAACATGAACCCTTTCAAACATCCCCAGTCTCTTTTCTGGCATTTTAAAATTCAGCCTGGAGCAGAGTGCCACATCTCCCTGTTACTGGTGCAGCATCGCCCAGTTAATTGGGGTTTTTGCTGAGACAGAGCCTGATTTGCTTTCAGCAGCTCACAGTCTGACATGGTTGCTTTGGACCTTGTTAACATAAATCCTCCCTTGCAGCCCTGCTGGACAGAAAATATCAGATCACAGGAGCAAAATGCTCTGAGGCTGTGGGGTTCGGTGGCAGAAACCACAAAGGAAAGCAGGTCTAGCAGCTGCAGCAGAGCAACCCCGGCTGAATATTGGGCCTCAAAACCCACAGGTACAAAGATTTCCTCTGGGCCAGAGTCCGTGCTGAGCTGGCATTTCTGTCTGTCCTGTGCTGTGTCCCAGCAGACTGCTTGCTCCCTCGTGGATGTGCAACTTTTCTCTTCTGAAAATGAGTCTTTGACCCAAAGCGGTCTAGGGAAAAATCTTATCTTTTTCCTTCACCTTACTCTGAAGGTGGAATGAGGCTAAAACTGGAAAACTATTAGCTCAGTCACAGCTTGGAGCTGCAAACTGGTAAATTGAGGTTGAGTATTGTGGGGTATTTTCTGGAGGATGCTGGAGCCATGAGAGACTTCGTGCTAGGAAGCCATACACAGATTGGATCATTCCTGGCAGCTGATGAGCACAGAAAGGAGGAAAAACAATTAATAAACAAAGCTGAGATGTTTTCCAGCACTTCTTTTGCTGTCTCAAAGAGCCATACACAGCAGTGGATATGTTAAATGGCTTCCAGAGGCCAAGAGCAATGTGCAGCTCTGGACAAGGGATGTGGACCGCTAAGAGAGCGAATACTGGCCAATGTGTTGTCACCTCTTTGGAGAGCTGCCACCCATTGGAAAGGCCAAACTGCCTGAATGAATGAGTAAAAGCAGGTAACATGTCCCAGAGCAAAGCACATTGGATGTCTTTGCAGGACAGTGGGAGGATTTGTGCTTTTTGGCAGTCTCTGCAGGGCTGCTTGCTCTTCCTGCCTCACCAGCCTGGGCATGGCAGCCTGTGAAGCTCTCAGAGCAACAGCCAGGCATCAGGAAAAATCCCTCAGTGCTGCTAAGTAAAGTGACCAACGCAGCAGGAGCTGGGGGGCTGCACACCACTGTCCCAGCCGAGCAGGGAGCCTTGCTGCAGCAGCACTTTGCTGGAGAGGCTCCATTTGCTCCCTAACCAAACCCCACAGTGGACAGTAGGGCTCTTCAGTGCTCATCATTAGAGATGATTACTCTGAAAAGAACACCGTGTCTGAGGTCCACCGGAGCTGGCAAGGCTCAAAGACCCTTTCGGCCCCCTGATGTTTGCCTGGAGCATTATTTTAGCACGCTCCAGAGGGACTCGGCAATGCTGGCTGTTAGGGGAGCAGCACACAGGGAAGTCGTATGATTTCTGAGAGCTTCTAGTACTCTCCTGGGAAAAGGGAAACTGCACCGAGGCTTGAACCAATGTGCACTTGATGAGCAGGCTGATGAATGCTCCTGATGCAATTCCGCATGTAAGAAACCTGGAGAGCAAGGCTCCACAAGCAACAGCTTCACAACTTTTTATTCCCTGCCCTAGAGTCACTGTCATCTTAAAATTCTCTACAAACATGAAAACAAATCATCCTGTCAAAAAATCATGCATTAGAAACAAATTATGCTCTCTAAAAGCATCTTGGCAATATAATTGATAAACTGTGAGTGTAGGAAATAATTGAAAAAGTGGGGGGGGGGACATGCAGGATAAATGACTAAAATAGGAAAATAATGAACACGTGTAAATAAGAGCCACAAACAATAAATATAAATTATGGCATGACAAACTGTAAATAATCAGAGCATTTCAGGCCTGAAATGTGATCCCTCTTCGGGGAAAACTTGTGTTGGTAAATCTGGAAAAGGCTGAGAAAGGAAAACGAGAAGAGACGAGGTTATCAGGGCTCCTGGAGCTGGCAGGTGCGATGGATTAGCTCTCAGATCCATTACTCAAAACCTGCGCTCGCTCTGTGGCAGCACGGTGCGTTACCGGCCCTCTTCCTACCTTCACCCGGCCATACAAACTGCCCTGGCAAAGGCGATGCCACCAGCCTTTTGCACCCCGCTATAGAGAGATTAAAAGAAGAGGGGTGGCATTTATCTTCCCTGGTTCAGCCATTTAGAAAGGGATTTTGATGACTGTTGTCTCCTGATTCACCCCACTTTCCCCTTCCCTCCCCGGTGTCTCCGTGTCCATGTGATACTCAGAAATAAATGACCACTGTCCTTAGCTTCTCCTGCAGGTGCACGTCAAAATGGCTGTTTGGCTACTGTGAAAGATTTTAACCCACTTCTTTGTTTCCAGGGTGTGGGAGGTGATGTCAGATGGATGAGGGCTGGCAGATCTGCTCCCCGGCCTCCTGAAAGCCACGGTGAGGGAGGGGAGGCACTTGGTGGTGGAGCTACGTTGTGCTCTGCGGTGAGGGGGTAATAGCAAGAAGAGAAATGGCATTAAAATGCAAACTATTGGCGGTGGTGATTACTGTGGATAGTCCTCTTCCATTAAGCAGCACAGAATCCATGCCTTTACGCCTTATTTCAGCTGTGATTGCTCCCGAGGAAAGCTCTGGTCACAGCCCATCCGACAGGGCCTTTGAGCAGAGCTCGGCGTGTGGTGCTGTGGGTAGCAGAGGGCGGCTGCTCGGCCTGTTGTCCTACAGCCGTGCTGGCACTCGAGTTTGGCCCAAAGTGCTATAAAACGCTGCCAATTCAACTTGGTGCTGGGGCTGTACCGCTCCGGCCTGGTGTCAGCGATGGCTGGCGGTGTAAAACAGCAGCGGGGTTGCTGTCAGGGGCTTGGGAGAAGGGGGGGAGCAGGTTTGAAATGCTGTGGCGCAGACAAAGACAAGGTTCACCCCCCAAAGCACGTAGCATGCAGCAGCCTGAGAGCCCCAGCAAGCTGATGAAGTGCCTTACACTGTGGGATCAGGGGAGATAGGGCAGCCAAAATGTCCTGATGTTAATGTAACCCTACCAGCGATGGTTTGGGACATAGCTTTGCTCCAGTTTAACAGGGGGTTTCATGAGACTCAATTAGCGAGGTTATTAATTAATCAATTATGTAAAAGAGATGAGCAATCAGATATCCTGTTCTACAGTGATACAGCCCATTGTTAAAACTTAATTAACTCATAGGCTTGGGGACAAAATTAAAAAAAAAAAAAAAAAAAAAAAAAAGAAACACAACAAGAAACGAGGGAAAAAAACCGACCACCTACTGAAGAATCAGTTAGGAGAGAATGAGTTCAAATGAGGCTGGAAATTGGCCTTGAGACCAGACGGGACCTCAGCCCTGCTCTGAGAGGAGACAGCATTATTTTAGGTAGTTTAACAAACAGCCTGATGTTCCTCTCTACCACAGCAGCCAGCTGAACCAAATTGCTCTCTCTCACTTGCCAAAATAAATTTATGACAAGCCCATTTGTGTAAATGGATATACTGGTCAGACCTGGTCAATGCTGCCCTTGGGGTCGGAGGCAATGACTGGGGGCATGGGTTTGCACCCCAGATCCTCGCCCTTAACTAAAGCCACTGCAGCACGAGCCAGGGAGCAGCAGCGGCACTGTCAGGCAAAGGTGCCAAAAGCAATGGGAATATCGATCTGCTCTAACAGCCCCTTGTAACCCACCGTATTTCAATGGCCTACATTAATCTGTGGAAAACCTACATCTTGTAACTGACGTCGTTTTATTTAATTTTACTTTAGGCTAGTAGTTATTTAGGTCAATTCCTTGCCACTTGTGATAAATTGACAAGTCATCTGTGATGGAGCAAATCCTTGTCTGGGTGTTCCTGCTCCTGCAGACTCTTACTTGGCCATATTTGTGTTGAATGATTTTGTGATATTCAGCATTGAAAAATCAGTAACAAAACCTGCAAATAATGTCAGTTTAGGTAATATGTTTTCAAAGCATAAGCCAATGCATTTCTGGACCTTTCTTCTAACAATATGCTCTGGGGTGGATTTTCCCATGTTTAAGGGCCAGATTGCAAATGTATTGGCTGGGAATGGAAGTGGAGTCATGCTCCAGCAATGATTTTTATTGAGTAACTATAGATGGGGAGAGGCAGTTACTACCTGGCAGAGACCCTGCATTTTAAGTTTTCTTTATGAACTCTCTCTCTCCCAACTCTTTAGCATGGAATTGCAGGAATTTATAGTGAGCCCCGAAAGAAGTTGATACTTGAGCCCAGTAGCTGCCAGACACCGTATTTCTTTCTAAATCTGGTGTCAGCAGTGGGGTTTCTTGCCGAGCTACAGCTGGAAGGGTGGCTTCATAGGCATTTAAGGCACACATTAGAGCTTTTTACATACCTTTGCCTCATTATCGGGCTGATATAGTGCTGGTAAAATCTAAATGCACTTACCTTCCTTCTGCACTGCCACTGTTTCTTTTTTTTTTTTTTTTTTTTTAACCTAGCTTTCAGGGATTCATTTCAAGCAGTTACTAGCTATTGCACACAGGGGACAGGAACAACCCAGCTCAGAGCAAAAACCTGCCTCTGCGGTTTGTGGGTTGTGATGGACCGATCCTGATCAAGTCAGCAGGGAATTTTCCATTGGCCTGGAGAAAAGTAGGATCTGTCCTGAAAGCACACATTCAGTGGGGCTGTTATTCTCATTCTTACTTATGTAAATCTTTGTTTTACCCCTTATTTTTTTCCTTTTTCTAAGACTGCATAAAGCCTGCTGCTCTTCACACTGCCCAAACCCCCTCTACAAAAGATGGTCCTGTTTCGAAGGTGGGAGTGCTCAGAAAGGCAAAAGCTTATTAATAACACTCTGCCTCCTTTTAATCTATTTGAAAAGCTGTACAGTGTGCAAAGCTGTTGTGACATTTTTTTTTTCCCTTTTTAATATCTCACGGTTTGATTGTCAGTATTTAAGACAAATGAAACTAATCATCAGCGAAGGTACTGATGCTAAAGATTTATAGCTGGTGTGGCTTTCAACAGGAAAATTCATGAGAGAGGACTGCGTGTGTGCATCTGTGTGTAAGCACGCATCTGTCAGGGGAGTTTTCAGAAATAAAACTAGTATGGTCATTAGCAAAACAATATTAGGAACATTGGAAAAATATTTATATGTTGGAAAGTGGGGGGAAAAGGTTATTTCCTTGTAACATTTTAATCTTATAATTTGTCTCGTGTGTCCCTTTTCACACAGAGGTATTACTTGGAGGGACTCGGTCATCCTCCAGGTAAGAGCTATACCTGCTAATCTCTTTACTTTAAGGCCAGACTGATCTTTTATCATTTCTGGAGAGATGTTTCAGCAGCAGACACTCTTCAATATCACGTGGAAGGCAAAGAGTGTATCCCTTAGCTGGGAGTTCATGAGAATTAGTCCAAGATTAGTCCAAAATGGAAAAGAGAATCATGGAAAAGCTAGATATAGAACAACGAACCTTATCAAGACATGACAAGAGGGACATAATCTGCTACGAGTATTTTAATATATGAAACCCAAGGACCCAGTCACATCATTTAGCCAGTACAAGTTGTTACAGAAGAGATTAGCAGCATACACGTTATAAAACACCAAGTCAACTTTCTATGGGGCATGTAAGAAATTCCCAGAAGTAGATATCCCAAAACAGGGGAGTCTGAAGACAGTAGTCACTGAAGCAGGAAGGTGGTCACAGGAGGGACCTGCTGGTTTTCTCTACAGGGGCTCCCTAGGGATGGCAGTGATGTGGCAGATGATGCTCCAGCTGTTCTGGCATATTTTAGCCCTGACCAACACTTCTCAGGGCAGATGACCCAAATACAGCGTGTATGAGTCTATAAACTTGTATATAGATGAGTATGTGTGTGTAGCAATGCATGTGTGATACAAAACAAGGCTTGCAAGATACCTGCAATTTTGAATCTCAAAGGGATTTGAAAAACAAAAACAAACAACAACAAAACATACCCTCCACTTCATTAGCAGCTCACACACTTTTAAATTTAGGGTTTTGTTTGTGTGTTTGCCTTCCGGCCCCCACTGCCACAGAGTCTGGCATCTGGTGCAGCTGAATCACTTAAACAGCACTTCAAAGAGTCTCATGGGTTTTGGAAAGGGAAAAGCTCATTTCTTCTCAAGAGTCAGGTAAGGCAGCATACTGGAAAGTAATGTGGGTTACCAGTAGTAAAAATAAACTAATGAATGAGATCAATTTAACAGAAATTTAAGGTACGTTCTGGGCAGTTTCTGGTTCTAGATGAGACAGCTCAGCCAACAGCTTAAGGACAGACGTTATAGATCTATTAGATGAGATCATAATTGCATTAATATTTGAAAATGTATTTAATTCTTTCATGTGGTACTTTAATATTAACTAAAATATTTGCACATAGAGAAGAAAGGTGATAACATTTTAAATTCTGTAATTAGCACTGTAATAACGTTTCCTGTTTAAACTTAGTTAATAAAGTGGAAGCCAAAATTTAGTAAGAGTCACAAAAACTATTTATAAGTGAGAATGGCTTCCCTGCAGTTGTATTCAATGTTTTTGTCTTCATTTATACTGTATATAATGATGTGAATGTAGCTGTGTTTATAGAATTGCCCAGAAAACCTTCAGAAGAGATATAAAAATGTGATTTGCAAACAGGGGAGGAAATAACCCTGAAAGTTTCCCCCACCCCCTTCTACAGCTAGTTTCCTTAAAGAAACAATTTTAATTTAATTTGTAAAGTTCTGGTTTTGGTACAGCTATTGCTTTCAGTTTGGTTTCATTACTGCTTTTAAAATACAGCTTTCTAGAGACCTTACATTAACTTCACAGATTACAGCTGACATTGAACAGAGGTAAAAGGTATAAACCAAATATAAAAGACCATCCATTTCCATGCATGATTAAATGCTGACTCAAGGTACTGCTGTATTTTTGATCCCCAAAGTTTAATAAAATTTAAGACAGGCAATCAGGAGTCGCAGACAAATTAAAATTTATTGAGACAGACAAAAATGCAACTATTTCAGACTACAGTTAAGCATTTACAGTTAACCAAAGAAATATAGCAAAATGTTCACATTCCACTTAACTCCTTATGGAAAAAGCATTCAGAATTTACTATGCAATTCTACTTACTATGATAGTCTACATCCATCTACAGTAGGGACATCAAACTGAAACACATAATATTTGGATCTCTCCTTACAGATCTACACATTTAACAGTAACGGACATCAACAGCATTGAGAAAAGTATAAAAAGACCAAAAACCACCTACTGTAGAAAGGGCTTTTTGATGTATAGTAACTGTACAAAGCAGTCTATGTATTAAAGGAACTTGAATGGCAGTACAGAAGGGCCTGCAATAAAAGCCAACAAATGTAGGAAGCTAAGCTCGGGCGATCTGGTGGTCTGTATCGAGTGATGACCTTAGATCTATGTCAGTTGCTGCTTGAGGGGAAAAATGCTACAAAACTTCTAATATCAAAATATTCCCATGCCAGAAATGTACACTGAGACTAACAGACTAGGCTGGAGAGGCAAAGAGAAGCATTCACTAACAAACAGTGTTGTTTTAAATATAAACTTTACATTTTCAATATAAACTGTAGAATAAATATTAAATAAACATTTCTAATGGTTTAAAATAATAGTATGGAACGGCTTAAAAAGGGCAAAAAAAGGAAAAGGATTCTTTGTGTTCACAGCAAAGTCTAGTAATGACCCAAAAAACCCAACTGTGCTGAAATCTGAACTCAAGGAGATTTTGATGTAACCACAGTAGTTAAAAGGACACCTTGAACCATAAAGCAATGCCTAACAGTATTTCATAGTCTCTAATATGAAAAGAAAATGAGATTAAAAATTGGTTTGTGTCTCTAAAAGAACGGGACAACTCTGATTCCATTTTTCACAATAAGAAAATATTTGAAAGGTCAATGACTTGATTCAGATGGGAAGTTCTGCTTTGAAAAAGAAAAAGAAAAAAATAGAAAGAAAAAAGAAAAAGCAAGAGGAAAAAAATAAAAGAAAAGAAGAAAAGAAAGGAATTCAATTAAGCCGCAAGCAAATTAAATCTTTTACAAAGCATGAAGAATGGAAGGGGCTTGATCCAACAAAGAACTGGTTCTTGGTAGAGTGGCTGGTTCCTTTTAAAGAAATAAAGCATCTTCTTAGAGGAATGTCTCAGATTGGACACATGTATCTACATTATATGAGTGTACATAAATATACATATATACACAAATATGTATATAAATGTACACAAACGCGCATGTTTATATAGCCTGCAGGTCCCCTGACCACTGACCAATGCCAGTGGATTTCAGAAGGGCTTTGTTAAATAGCTTTGTAGTTCTTGGTAACATGCTCAAAGCAAACTGCAGTCTGAGCTGCCACTCAAAGCACAAACATTTGTCTGACGTCTGCCTGACAAGGCTATGACACATTATTATTTGATATCATTCTCTTTAAACTGTGCTATCGCTGTAGCCTATTGAACATAGTCCATAAAATTGTATTTTCCTGATGCTGGCCCGGATTCGGAAGACCAATTGGAACAGGTAACTGAATGATCACCTGGATAGGGGCGTCGACACGAACCCAGGCCAGTGGGGCTGTGTGTACACATGTATGTGTATGTGTGTGTGTGTGTGTGTGTGTGTGTGTGTGTGCAGGCTTGGTATTTGTTCCCAGATCATTGATCTAGAGAAACAGAAAATGAAAGAGGAGACAACGCCTGAGCCCCTGCAACATGTGGTGTGTGAAAGGACTGCCTTTTCTGTATTGCTTTTCCACTCCCATCTGAATGCAGAGGTCCTGCACAGATGGGGAGATGGGCTGCACAGCCCTAACAGGTTTTGCAGTGGGCATTGGCTCTGAAGAGGGGTGGGGACCACAGCTCCTGGGACAGCGTTTCTGGAAAAGTGACTTCTGCCAACCAGCACGGTATGTCCCTGCTTTCCTGGCATAAAGGAATTCTCTGGAATATCTTTTGACTCCATACTGTCAGCACATCTAGAGCCAACATTAATTCAGAGGAAAAAAAAAAAAGTCTAATTATTTCTCTGTGCAATAAGCACATTTTTCATTCTGCAAAATAAATCGCAGGCAAATCATGGGCACTGCTAAAATACTTACAGCTGCTTCCCAACCCAGCAGCTCAATTATGGTACCCAGAAAAACGTTCAAAGCTATGGGAGTCCCACCTGCTGGGCTGGCAAAGAGCTCACATGTGCTGTCTTTCCCTTGAGTTTGAAACCTTGAAAATGCCTTGTCACGTAAGCATCCACACTGAAATATTTACACGATTAGGGCTTTCATTAAATGCTTCCAACCAATGTGGCCCTTCCTGCAACTTCTCCCAGCGAGAGAACTGGCTCTAGCACACTGCTAAGGGCCGCCACACGCCTCCCTGGTGGTCGGTCACCATTTACTGATCCTGACCTTGAGGAGAAGCACCAAGTGGCAGCCTCTAATCATGAAAGCCACAAGCCAAAGAACTCACACAAACACACACCCAAGTCACACAGCCAGAGGGGGAGCCAGGAATGCTCTCAAAGCATGTGCAGACCGCCCAGCCAAAGTTATATACTAGCCATCTACAACCAAAAGGCTTTTTTTTCCCTTTAGAAATATTGATCTGCCAAATGCACTCCTGCTGTAACTCATCGACATCAATGGGCAGCATTTCTGAAAAACCGCAAAAATAATGAAAGGTCACCACAGTATATTCTTGCATCAGAGAACTGCCATGGGAAAGGACACAGCAAATAATTTAATGTCAGTGTGCTGTGATACAATTGTAGAGCTATAAATACAGGGATGATGCTGAGGGAGTCACAGATTGTGTTTTAATACTAGTCTCTTTTACGTGTGTGTTAGGAGTGTGCAGCTTGTCACACGGAGCAGAGGAGTTAAGCTTTTGAAACACTCCCACTTAAAGTTGCTATTTTAAACAGGGCCAAATAAATATTAACTATTTAAATTATAGAAATGACAGCTTATTACTTTTGATGGTTAGTGTCTTTGAAAGCTATACAGCTTTGCAATGAGGGATTGCTTCGAGTAAATAAAGACCAGACAGACCCACGGTGTGTGAGTTGGGAGCAGAGGCTGCCCGTGTGACATTAGTGCACTTAGTGCAAATGAGGTCAGACAGGAGCTGAAGAATGCCTGTGGAGGCGGTTATGTTGCTATAGATTGATGACACTCTTTGCTCAAACACTTTGATAGTCAGACGGACTCTGTTCCCTGCCCACAGGGCTCGGTCCGTGATAGCTGCAGGTTCTCAGCATCTCTCAAGATCAAGGCCATGTTGCTTAACCAAAATAACGCTGTCAGAGAGCTGATCTATGCTCCAGTGGGTTTGGTTTTCAGCGTGGGCTGGGCTAAGCCTGTTGGACTCATTCTCAAAGAATGTAAGAATAAAATCAGCACCAAACCAGAGGGTTTCTTTCTGGATTAAGCCCCTGGTGCTAGGAAGCCAGAAATCAGTATCCAAAGAGACTTACCCTACAGGAACACAACAAATATGGAATAGAGAAGGAGACGCCTACTTTTCCTTTTTCATGAAAGAAAAATTACTGTTTCTGATATGATCCAGGTAACAATTTATGACTACAAATTGTCTATGTTTGATAACAAGAGAAGGGCTGCTAAACCTTGTGCCAGTTTGCCGAGCCCCTTCTGTGATTCTTCTTTCACACAATATATTTCATAAGCTGTGCAATTGAGGATTAAGACATGAAATGTTTTTGAAACAAAATTCATTGCCCCTGTGGATTAGAACAAAAATCCCCCAAACCAACTGAACAAAAGCTGAATTCCAAACAGTCCTCACTGGAAAAAAAAAAAAGAAAAAGCTGTCTTCCAAATTAAAGAGACCATACAAAATTAAACTCAGTAGAGAGGGAATATTTGTGCCAGGTACTCTCAGATACAATTGCAGAGATATGATGTGACTTGCAATATTGTGCAAAATGTGAGTCCTTAGAATGATGGGCACTACCATATATAGCCAATTTCATCATCCTTATCATCATCTTCATCTTCGTCATCTTCATTAGCTGCTCTTACATGAATCTTCAGTTTTCCTTCTTTGTCTTTTTTTGCTGCTTCAGGTTCCTCTTCCAAATCATCCAGCAACACAACAGATCCACCACTGCCAAAATCCCCTGAGGTTTCCTGCTCTTCTTCTGAAACAGGTAAGCGGGAACAGTCATTTCCTCACATCCCAATCCCTTGTTCGTGACTACCCTTGTCATTCAAGCCCCTTTGCAGTGTTATTTTTAAAATTAATTCTCTTTGCTGTTCTTGAAAAAAACTCTAAATTTCATTTTTTATTCTAATGGTATAAATATACATATAATAATTTACTCTAAAAAATTTACTTGCTTGAAAAATGATGCACCCAGATGCTCAACTGATTTTGAGGTGAGTATTGACTCAGTTCACATGCATGCAGGCCAGAAAAGAATTACTCATTTGCGAATACTTTCAATGCATCATGACTAAATAAACCAGGCTAAAAATAATCCACAGACTGATTTTATTTAAGTGCATAAAACATGCTTTGCAAGTACACCTATTTAGCCTAACACCGCTGATTCAGTTCTGGGCAACCCAGACCTTCTAGGTCACTTTTTTTTTTTTCTTTCTTTTTTTTTTCTTCTTCTTCTTCTTTCTGGAATTAGAACAGCTGCATCCACAACCATCACTAATACCCAATACCACTAAAATCTTGCTTGTGTAGGTATAAGAGCTAACTGGCGAGTTTACTATTGTACTGTCAGCAATTTTGGGGCTTCATTGCTAATTCATAAAATTTTACAGATTGGCCTTCCTTTGTCTGGAAAGACATTGTTCATGATATTCCTGTCAATGCGTGCTCCAAAGTATACAGAACAATACATTTAATAACCTTGTATAGCAGTCCCATAGCCTTAATTATCAGTGACTACATATCCCAAGCTGGCAGCAAAAACATCTTATCACTGGCTATTGCATGCTTCCCTCTGCTGTAGCCCCTCAGCCCAAAGGACAAAGATGTGTATATGGGCCCATTTGTAATATGAATGGGAAAATAAAGGAGCACTCTGAACACTGGTAGTTATGTTTCCCTGTTGTCACTTGTGTTATCGTACTTCATCTTACAGCAATGGCAGGGCTTACAACGATGTTAATTCCTTTGCTATCTGAGGAGAGACCATCATTACTCACCACAACTAACTGTCCCTTGTTTTCTTGAGCCAGCTATCTCATTCCCGTACTTATCAACACACCAGCACTGCCCTGTGCTGCCGTGGCACTGAGTGGCTTTGTAATAACCTTCTTCATTGCACCGTGGGATGAAAGCACCTGAATAAAATATAAGGTATAATCAGTGATACAAGCCTCTATACAACCAAGCAGGCGTATAGAGTGTTATGAACTTGTCTCTTAGTTACATGAAGATCTTCACAATGTTGGCAAGGAAGTACTTGTGATTATCTGGTGCCTAAAGGGGAGCAGAAATTATATATGATTAACTATTTTCAGGCACCCTGGTCACTGCACAGTGCATGAATGTTTGTGATAGCACATGGAGGGTGAAGGCATATGCTACTAAAGATAGGTTTTGTCTGTCTCTGAATGATTGATATTCCCCAAGAGCCTCTTGCAGATTTAACTCTGGGTTTTAAGCTTTTCTTCCCAACTGGAATATTACCCCAACTTCATTAATTCTTCATTTCCCTTCCATTTGCACTCCTTCAGTGTTTATCATACAAGTCTTTCCACAACACTGTAATTATCCCTGGAAGGTATCTGCCATCTGCTTGCTATTCATATTAATCGCAAGCACAACTTCTGCCTTACTGAGAGTTCCCATGCATAGAAGAACTAATGCATAAGCTTTACAGAGAGGGACAACGGGATCTGAAATCCCTACGTCTTCAGCTTTGAAGCCTAAGATTTATCTCAGAATAATACCAATACAGTTCAGCCCTGCAGAATGTGGTTCCTTCTGGCTTCCACAGACAGGCAAACTCTCAGGAGGAACCCGTGTTATTGTTCCCACCACTTTCAGCAGGTACAGTAAATGTACTTCAGTATGAGAAGCTCTCTTGTCCTTTGAGACTAGTTAGCTTTATTCCCAGGGGAGGTCAATACAGTCATTTTCCATTCTTTGCCAATTGCTTCAATTTGAAACATGGCAGAAACCCACCCTTGCCCCAAATCTCTTGTCTCAAATGACTTTTGAGAAAACGTTTTCTCCTTTGTCAAAGACACCTGTGATTTACTGGTCACACAGTAAGTTTTTAAACTAGTTCCATGTGTATTGCATCTCTTCAGACGATTCATGTGTCAAAGGGTCTATTTCCACTACATTTCTCAAAGAAAAAAATGAATGAGAAGGTGCTGCCCAAATGCCATGAAATTTTCTACAGAAAATACATAAAAGAGGACGTCAATCAATCTCAGATTTATATATATATATAATGAATCCTTGAATTTCCAAACTCATTGTACTACAGAACTTTTCTACTGTTTAAATGCCAATAATGTAGTTATGGAAGATCAGAATAGAAATCTTTGAACATCAGCAGAAATCATATATCTGATCAGTTTTGGAGACCACTGTACTTTCATTAATGAAAGTATTTTAAATAACTTCAAAGCATGGTCTTATGGTTTGTTTGCTTATGGGAACCACCACTATATTCATGTGCAAGTGAAAGCACAGTGACGACTACTAAAGACTCATTTTTGCTATTTATAACAAAATGGTTCATCGTGCACATGTATTCACCTTTGCAAGTTACTGCTGAATGTTTGATCCCTTATTTCAGTATTCTTTCATATTTGTGATCATGGCCTCTCTCTGTTAAACACTTCAAGTGTTTATCAGACAATTCAATACCTTGGAAAAAGTGCTCTGGTGCTGATTTTCAGCTGGTGGAGCTCCCCTGCTATATCAGTTGTGCATCTGGCTCCAGGGAACTACCAAAAGGGGAACCTACGTGGCTTCACAGCGTGAGCAGAGAATGGTCTCTGTATTTTAAACTGTCTCATCCTTTCTCTTTTCCTTGGGCAATGCAACCTTTCCCTTCTTTGAAGTAGGCCTTTTCACATAGTTTTACCGCTTTCCTTGTAAGGTATTAAAATGTTCCATGCTGACTGTAAAAGCCATAGATTAGAAAAAAAAATATGGCCCAGGCTCACTGCCAAGATAACTATGTGTGGAAAGGATTCACACTTTGGGTCACAGTGTGGAGTGGAAGGTACTTCTCTTTCTGCAGGGGAAACTTGTGCTAATTTGTATGTGACACTGGAACTTTAAATATTTAGCACATTAGTGTCACGGTGTTTGCCAACCATCAGGGAGAAGACTGCAGCATGTCCTTGTCAGTGTGTCAGGTGCAGGTGATAATCCGGTGACAACAGAGAATCACTGGAAGCAAGTGTTGCATAGAGTGATGGTTCATCCTGTAACCCCCCACAAAATCAGCCTCTGCGTGCATTAGAAATAAGCTCTGCCTACAAGTTTTGGTGGTATGGAGCATGGCATCCAAACACTGCACTTAGCAGGGACATTTCCCTCTAGAATTTGGTTGGGCGTCTGAGAACAGCTGTGCAGTTTGGGAGGAGAAAGGAGTTCCCATTTCCTTTCCCTTCTATGCTTGCACAGCCAGTGCTTCCCCACGTGTGTGGCCCTTTGTGGTGGGGGCTGCTGCTAGAGCAGCTTCACTATTCACCACTTCACAGCCTTAGTTGCTCCCCACTGACTTCCTCGGGCTAGGGAATCATGCTTCCCCTGTCTCTCTCTGTCCCCACAGTATTTAATTATTCCCTGCAAACTGGAACAGCACTGCTGAATCTATATCCTCTTTATGGATCCAAGTCTGGGTCTCTTAGTTCTGCATTCTTTCCTTATCTATATAACACTCCCCTTCCTCAGAGGACATGGGGAGAATAATTATATGCTAAAGATAGTGAAGCACACAGGTAAAAGCTTGACAGAATTAAGTGCTAGCTCCCTGTATTAGCTATTATACCAGCTGAATTCACAGGGCTGATATAGAAGAAAATAGTGACGGGAGCAGAAATTTATTACCTTAGTGATGTGGGAGTAGCATTATCAGGATGCACAGTTGTATGCTCTAAAAGTACACTCTCTGCAGTTAATTGTACTCTAGATAAATCTGGTAGGAAAAGATGAATAGTGCTGTTTACTTTTTAATTCAGTCCCCTGGGATGCTAGACTCTATTTGAAAGTCTCCGAATTCAACATATCTAATGGCAATTGCTTTGAAGTACTTTGTTGCAACTGTCATGTGTGTTGAAAAATATATAGAGAACAAAATATCAAAAGTCATCATTTTTTATCAATGGATACAAGTGAACAGAAATCTTCCTCATGCACACTGTCCAGACTGTAAATGCTGTTCTCTGTATGTCAGGGACAGAGAAGGAAAGAGAATAATTAAAGCCTAGTTTCTCTGAAAATATTCATCTCTCTTTTCAATCTTTACTCTTGCTACAAGCAGTATTTTTGTCACGTGTATGTTTGGTTTTCCATTTGCATGACTTTTCACTCAGTCAAGAGAAAAGACAGTGTTCTCTGCTGTATAAATAGCCATGAGATCAGATTAAAACCTCACAGAGAGGTGTCATTATGCAGCCAGACTTTCAAGGCAGGTGAAGCAAAGAGCTCTTCTCCACAATATTTTCTAGCTTATTGAACAATCTATGCCTGGTGCTTCTTGATTTGTTGAGCTTACCCACTTTTACCCTTTATTTTTTTAATACAGTTGACTAGGAGTTATTTGTGGTAAGGGACTGTTGTTACTGCTGCAACTTTGTCATTTTGCTATTGTGATCAGATCCCAGTGACATGCCATACAGCTGCCTGCGTGTTGTACTACCTGCAACACCGTCATTATTTTTCCCACGCACTGGAACAAACCACTTATGTTTCAACCTAGATGACATTTATTGCATGCAGCAAATAACAGCAAAGCATAAAATAAATATGGGATAGCCAAAGATATCTATTAGGAACTGGGCTTCTTATTTTTTCAAGTGGCTTTGGAAATCATGAGACCCATGAGACAGAGCACACAGTGGCTTCCTCCACCAGGACGCACATTTGAGCAAAAATGCAAAATGTTTACTGAATGTAGCACACACACAGCTGAGCGATCAATCCTCCCTTCACTCCCACTGCTAGGCACAGCAGGAGCTGCAACTCTGAAACATCTTAATCTTTATGCGAACATGCTATGAAAAGATGATGGAACTAAACCATAATCCCTGTAGCCTTTGGGAATATTTATTCTCATTTTAAACCAAAGAATCCAGGCCGGGATTGTTTCTAAGGTATCTGAACCTGTAGTTCAAAGCACTGGCTTCTGGGTTTGGTAAAGAGAAGCTTTACAGAAGTGCTATTCACAGGGTCTGCTAACGAGCATCTAGAAACATCAGAGTACAACCTAAAAGCAGCTTCAGAAGCAGACTGAAGCCTGAAATGCATTTCAGCAGAGCTGCCATGCGCTCTCTGTGCCACAGCTCGGGATGCTGGTGAGAAGAGGTTTGGTTTGAGTGTCATATACACGGAATACACTGTTATACTTTTAAGTAGGATTAGGCAAAAGTGACCCCCAAGGCACATATACATTGCACTGTGACTGGAAGAAGATATGAACCCGTTGGCTATACACTGTGGCACCTTCCATCAAAAGTGGGAGGCTTGAGTGTGAAGCAACTTCTGTGCTTAGTGCTGACCTCCCAGGTGATGAAGGCAATATTACACCCTGCTCAGATAAGGCTTTGCATTTTTGAGAGCTGTAAATTAGTTGTGAACCCATTGCCATGCTGACACCTGTTCTGTATGTTGCTATCTCAGGATTTGTTTAATTTCATAGTTTCAGGCCTATACTCTATGGTGCATATTCCTGATTCAAAACATTAGTCTCTAATTGAAAAACCATTACTGCGTATAAAGTTACAATAATCACAGAAGCTTTAATTAGTTGAGTAAATGAATGGCAAGTAATCGAACTTACCCAGCAGACTCTTCCCTCTACTTAGCTTTTGAATTCTATTCATTTCGTTCTGGCAAGGAAGGCCTAAAATATAATGGATGAGAATCAGTTTCCAGATGGTACAGGACAGACTCTAATGACTGGCTTCACTCCTGACATGAAATGTAGACTACAGTACACCTGGGAACGAAAGAGGGCCATATGCTGGTACTGTACTGCAAAACAAATTTATGTCATTAACTCTACTAATTAAAAAAAAATAAAAAATTGCTACATACTTTGTTTGAGATAGTGTTTGGGGGCCAGTTTCATTGTTAAATTGTTTTTCTTCTTTTCACCAAACTGATATAATGCCAGCTCTCTACTTTTTGATTTGCTTATAGACTAATTTCTGCATTAGTAAGAGAGTAAGTTCTTGAGCTTTCTACAGCTTATTTCTAGACTGTGTGCCGGCACTTATTACTGCTTTGTTTCTGCATCAAGGGATGCTAATATAGTTCATCTGTGACATTAAGCATAGTTACACAATGCCCTTTTCACACCAGTGCTAAAGACAGGAGCTTTGTAGTGTAGCTAACTACCGATTACAAACCTATCCCTGCAAGCAAATCAATCAAAATTTAAGCTTGGGGAGACCCAAACAACTTCTCTTTGTACCGCAAATTGTACAACTCACCACCTGGCTTCTGGAAGCAGTAACACCACTCATTGTTGGAAAGCTTTCCATCTTTGAAGGAGTCACAGGAGTTGAAGAGAGGCTTGACACATGGCTCATACTTATCAAGATAAATGGCACTGATCTCTGAGGGATCCAGCAGCAGGTCGTAGTTCATGTCAAGTTTGTTGAACATCCAGCCTAAGGAATCCTTACAGATTGGTAGGATGCTGGTGTCAAATCCTGCAAGAAGACAGGCAAATATCCCCAGCTGAATACCAGCACAGGAATCATCGATAAGCTGAAGCCATTCTATTTTTTTTTTTCTTTTTGGCTGGACTCTGAACATTAACTGGATTTGTCCAAACCAGAACAAAATTCTCAGGCTGAACTGATTCAGTGAAGCTTAACACCCAAGCATGGTGGCAGAAAGGAGCACTACTCCTATGCTTTAGGAGCTGCAGGGTGGAGAGGGCTGAGATTTGTTGCTGATTACTGTAATTCAAAGTTACTTCTACTCAAAAAACACCACACATACATTTCTTTTTTTTTTCCCCCCTGTCCTCAGTCCAAGGGTGTTGGCCTTATTCTCCAAAAAATGAAATGTGATGAGATCTGCCTCCACTCATTTTTCAAACCAGGCTGAGTCCAAATGCAATTTAAATCCTGTTTCCAAGGCCTGTTTCTGGTTCCCTGATCAAATTCTTTCCTCGCATGCTCTCACCTTCTACTTCTCAGCCCAGCTTTTCACTCTTCAAAGCCCTGCCTCCCGTGGTGGACAACAAGAAGCTTTGATCTGGATCACGTACTGTTGTGGAGGGTCAGCGGTATGAAGGGAGGAAGCATCTCTCTCACTTGACTCCCCCCTGAAGAATGGCAGTGTTTCAGCTGGGTGCTCCAGAGACCCGCACATGCTCCTGTACACGTGATCAGCATTATTTGTCCTTGCCTGCTCCAGGATAGTGCAGCAAAAGAGGATTCTGCTCTTCTAGTACTTTGGAAATCATCGTCATCACTCATCTTAATAGCGCAAATCCTTAAAAGACTGCAACAGCAGTGATACCACAGGAAGACCAAGTCATGCATATGGATACCCACAATGTACATGAGATGCATGTGCCTGTATTTTGCAGTTCCCACAAAAACAGAGGCATTGCCTTCTTTTACAAACAAGACAGTGCATTATTAGTCCTTACTGTCACTGCATTTTTCAGTGCTTGGTACAAACAAGGACTAATTTCCAAATTATTTATGATGCAAGAGAGTACATTTGTGCTAATAAATCTGAGAATAAGGATCTCAGTTCCAACAAGGACTCAGGAACATGCATACATTAGCTGCAGATTTACACATAAAGAGGGTACCTGAATCTCCTGCCCCAGCACCATGTGCTCACGTTGCTTCAGCTGCATGATAAGCCTGCCCGTGCACTATTTGTTCTGCTACGGCCACGTGGAGAAGCCTGATGGGCTTTTTCCTTTTGTTGCATCTTTCATTGAAAGAGGTCAAGCTTAGCCTTATGTGCTGTAAGTGTCAAGTCCCATTTCTAGATGCTGCTTTGTTAAAGTGAAACCTAAGATGTTGCTGGAATCACGCTGACAGTTTGTCCAGGCTCTGCAGCCTACCTGCTATTTTAAGCATTAATCCAAGGGAGGGCAGTGCTTTGTGCTGGAAGCTGTGCTTTTTGTATGCAACTGCAGCTGAAGGTTGTCAGTGACATGGAGGAACAATCAGAAGGGTTAACTAATGGGAAGGTTTATGTCATTCATAATACATGTTTCTCAAAGAAAGGAAGAGGCTAACACCATTTCCTCAGGGCTAGAGGCAGCTTAGGCAGCGAAGAGAGAGATCATGCTGAACATTTCATCACATTTTTGTGCCGTTATCTCCCCTAATGTTATCTAATCGAGTTTGAGCACAGTGAAAAAGAAAAAGGCTGTATGAATAGAGGTAGGGAGGAAGCCTGCCTGCCTTGCTGAAGCAATTAGGACTATTCACTTCAACTATTTTATTCATCTGAAGAAGGCGAGCAGGACTTGGTCATTCTGCAATCCCTTGTTGAGAGAAATGACTTCGCAATCCTCAACTTTGCTTTTGCAGAGCTTGAAGGCGCAGGGTTGGTACGGTGGCTCCTGCCTTGTGTGGGGTGCATGCTGCAACTGATTCCCCTCCATGGGACACATTAAAAGCAGATGAACAGGCAAGAGGTAATAATACTCAGTTGCATGGTGGAGCTGGGATCAATACGTGATTCAACTACCCCAGCTTAACAGTTTCTGGGGAGAAATAGCTGGGTTCTGTTGGCAGTGTTTTTCCTGCATGGACGCCATCTCTGGTGATGGTCTTTATGCCATGTTGTGGCACTTACTGCTGCTAAAGTGAATAACTGAAAGGTCTGCTGTGCAACCAGTTCAGCATGGCATGTGTTGCTTAGCCCTGTGACTCTCTAAAGGTCATCTAACTGGCAAGGATCAATGCAGGGAGGAAGAGATCCTGGCAAGAACTTGCCCCTGACAGCGCCTGTGGATTATTTTGAGTCTTGTTTTCCTCCCTGCTGGGAAGTCTTTATCTGTGTGTACAACATGCACTCAGTGATACAACAGCAGCGTGCCCCCAGCACTGAGCTGTCTGAGCAGATCACAAGATAGTGACTGATCTGAATACGAAGCTGCTCTGTGACATACCATCAGGGCTTGAATGCAAGATACAATCATGAAAGGTCACTTACGAAGACAGTTAATTACATTAGATGAAGAGTCTTGATCGGAATTTCTTATAAACAAGGGAGCTTTCACTATTGCAACCAGAGTTGCAGATTAGGTTTATTAAGAGGCTGTGCAATTAAGCAGTGCTGCATATTAGACAATGTGGTCTGGAAGTTGTTAAATATTACAGCTGCAGGTGCAATGGAAAGCCCTTAGCCAAATGGTTAATATCAGCAAAAAGCCCTAATTCTTTAATTATCCTTCAGTATGTGTTTGAAAGTGAATAGTAGCATCTACTTCCACTTCGTATCATCTCCTGGTAAAAGCTACCACCCATAAATCACCTTGTGCAGTCCTGCTTCTGCAGTCCAAGCCCAGCAATGCTGGATGTTCTCTGCACACAGCAACAGGAATGAAAGCAACGGGTGGACAGAGAGCGCAGTGCAGGCTCTGACTTTATCGTGCAACCAGGGCAGCTGAGGGAAGATGGTTCTCAGGGCTTACCTAGCTTCACTGGGAGGTCACTGTGCTCCCATCAGACTAGGTGAGGCCAAATGATCTTAAATGAATTAACTCAGTTTTGGAGTCTTATGATGTACTCGCTTACAAATACGACACAACATGTTGGATGAAATAAACTGCATACTGTCATTTGTAATGAATGTAGTGCTTGGTTAGTAGGCTGGAACTCCAGCACAGCAGACCTGGCTTAGCAGCAGCCTCAGTGAGATCTTTCCTGCATCTTTCTATGCATCAGCTCAGCCCTGCAGGACCTACGGTGAGAAGCAAGAAAAGGGTGCAGGCTTCATATCCCTCCTGCTCTTGGCTCCTGAGCAGATGCTGCCAACACAGATGCCAATTAGTGTCAATTGTGGTGGTGGTTGCTCTCATCTGGACACCTGGTCACAGCGACCTGGATTGAGACCATCACATTTCTCACTCCCACTGACAGCTGTTTGACGTCCTAACAACGTTCAGTCGCTACGGATCTGTAAGGAATTCAAACTGGTGACCTACATGTGAAAGTCTAAATATCCCTTTAATGCCTAAAACATTCCACCTTCTCTGAATTAAAATGGAATTAAATTAGGAAAAAAACTGTAAGTGAAAATCATAATTAAAAATAAACACACCTTCTGGCACACAAAATTATTTTCCCTCTCTTCAAGAGTTGACTTACATAAGCAAGATTTATTTTATTAAAGTATACTACAATTAAATTAACAGGGGAATAATTAACCTAATTTCCCCCATCACTTAAAATAAAGAAAGGAGGAAAAGAAACGCTCCCCAGAAAAGCGCCTTTATATTGCATAGATCTCTGGTACAAGAAAAACAACTCCCACTCCAACTAAAGAGACTATCCAGATATAACATGGGGATGTTATGAATTATCAACAGACTCATGAGCAATTTGAATCTGATCTTAGTACTTAATTAGTTTTATTATTTCTTGTTTCAAAGCATGTCCCTGAGTTACTAATATTATTTATTAAGGATTTTATAATTGTACAAAGACTGTGGAAGACAGAGTTCCTGGACTGTGGCGCTTTGTTAGGATCTCACGGATAGCACGTTGAATGAAGGTTTGAGATTTGAAGCACAATGACTTGCCCTTATCCCTTCCCTTTCAGCAGAGTAAAAAAAGAAGACAAAAATGTACTTCTTTTTTCTTCACCTGGGGGTGAACTTAATACACTCAAAGAGCTTATTTACACTTACAGTAACATCTTGAAAATTTAATGTAGCATAGAGAAATCTCTGCTGGAACACCTTCTCTAGACAGCTGATGTGTCCGAGGCATCTTAGTCATCACATCCCACCATCTGTTCCTTTTACTGCCACAGGGGCATACCCAAAATGGATTACTTTGAGGATGTATATGCCTTTTAAGACTCTACAAGCTTAACCAAGCTTGCTCAGCTTAATGAAGTGATCAGCCTACTGAGGAGGAGAATACATGCAGAGCAACAAAAAAAGGCAATGGGTACATCAGAGCGTATTTCCAGAGCTGCGTATGTCCTGTTTGCATTTGTGTCCAGGATTCACACAAATATTTTATTTTTTCAGCTTGGGTATGTGAACTTTGTTTTGGATTTTGAGCCCCATTTTATTCTTACAAATGTTTGAAGCTGAAGTTAGAGGAAGCCAAACCCTGCTGTCCTTATTTAGTGTGTCTTTGCAGTGCTACCAGAGAGAACCAGAGCTGCAGAATTTGGCACATGCAGACCAATTCATGCATACTGTTGCAATTTCTTAAAAAGAAAAACAAGCTGAAGTTTTGTGGCATTTAGAAATGATTTGGACATCTTAACTCATAAAGTTTCTTTCCTTTCCTTTTTTTTTTTTTTTCTCCTGACACAGAGGAAATAAGAAAATGTGCCAAACTAAGTCAACAATCTAAAAATGAACATTGTTGAGATCAAGTGTTTAAGATCATCAAGGCAGCCTTTCATACAAAAGCTGCCAGGAATCAAACTGAACTAAAAAGAGATAACAGCTCCTCTATGAATCAGAGCAAACACTGCAGAATTACCAGGAATGCTTTTCTTACTGAAATTGCTTCAGCAAAAATCCCACCATCCTTAGGAATGAATTTAGTCTTTGCCCTTTGGTAAGCTCCTCATGAGCAGCTCACAGGTATCTGCATGAAAACATCCTTTTGAGGATCTGATGAAACAAGATTTCACGTGATTCTGGGCATGGGGGACTCCAGAAAAAAAGTTTTATATTTCTGGTGCTTTCTGTCACGGGGGCTGAAGGGAATTCATAATTTGAAGCCATGATTAGCTGCACAGAAAGTTTCTTTTTGTGTTATGGTTCAGCTTCCTTTGCATAAGAATAGCTAAGAAATGTGTAGGACATATGGTTTTAAAGATACTGACTTTCCTGTGGATACTTTGTAAGTAAAGAACAAATGAAAAAGTTTACAGAGAATGTGGCTTGTTGTATTACATACTTTTAAGATAGAAGTACTTGGCATTAATGAGGTTTGCTTATAGTTTTAAGCATTATAGCCTGGGGTATATTCTGTGTTTTTAGGAAGAGGCAATTTATTGCTACACAAGCTTGAAAGTGGCATAAGAGTGGCAGTGCGGACATGGACCAGCAGGAAATGTCCATCCTGATGTGCTGGGTCAGCTCCATCCCACAGATGGGCTACACGTTCTGGCTCTCCAGCATCATGCTACAGAGAAATCAGGTCAAAAAAGAAGTAAAAGGGAGCAGCAGCCTTCCTTCACATAACGTATGTGTGTGGACCCCAGTTCTGAGCAGCTCTCCCCAGAGAATGAGGACAGCGAAGTGAAGGTGAGTCACACACCTAAATGAAACTTGTGCATCCTACTTTGCAACCCAGGGCCCGTGTGGTTTGGGACACGCTGTTTAAAAGGATTAATGAGTCCTTACAGAAAATAAATTCGCATCTGCTCTCTGATGAAGATGACCTCTTTTGCTGCTGTTATCTGAATCTTTCCCCTCCCTGGTGGGTAAATGACATCAAAATCAGTCATGTTAGCTTAACCCACAGAGAGTAAATGTCCTCTAAGCCGTTCACTTTCTTTCTTCCTTTCTTTCTTTCTTTTTTTCTTTTTTTTTTTTTACATAAAAATAAAGGGAGAAAAAAGAATCAAAGGAAGCAAAGATGGCATTATTAAATACCTGAGACACAACAGATTCCAGCTTTCCATACCACTTCACTATTCCAGCTCTGGGGCTATAGTGTGGATGTTTTCATTGTTCTACCTCTTATAAAAGGCATTAGAAAGAAATTGTAAAATAAAATCCGAAGCGAGTCTTTTGCAATGTTAGCTTAATTTTCTCTTTGCTTGTATGCTGTGTTTTTGGTTCATGACTTCGGGTCAGAAAATGCTTGGCCTGGACTTGGGGGCAAGCACAGACCACTGTCCACCTCCAAGAAGTGATCTGGGTGCAGCCACACTGATTTGTAGGGTCATGGAGACTACTGTACAGACACGAACTATGTCATGCCGCTGACCTCAGGGCTTGACAAAAGTCCCTGAGTGACTTTATTTGCTAGTATAGATGTGAACTTTGTGACTTTAGACTCAGTTATTTGCCTGGCTAACTTGTAAGGGTCTCCCTGACTGCCAATTTTTAGAGTAGCTTAGGCCAGAGAGAGAGCACAGAAGGACTGCAACTCCTTCAGAAAACGGTGCAGCTATTTATTTGCAGGATCAGCTCCCCTGTGTAATTGCTTACTTGCTGGCACCTGCTTGACATGACATTGTGGCACTAACAGCTGTGCTTAGCTCTCCCAGGCTGGGAAGCTGCCTGCAACACTCAACATTCAACTGGAAAGGTGTTTTCTTACTGCCTTGTGCTGTCTCCGAGCTTGTCGGCTTGATGACACGGTTTGCATCCTCGTGAAGAGCACCGAACCAGTCTTTTAGTCGTGAAGCGAGACTCCTCAATTCTTTGTCTGTGCAAGCTAGAAGAAAAAATCACTAGAATGAGTCAAGAGTACCAGCAAAACAGCTTTCACCAGATATTCTGCAAGAAAAATACTATTTATTTATGGTTGCAAACTCCTTCTCATTAAGGACCCTGAAGTAAAAGAGGAGGTTAGGGAAAAGGATGCAACTTAAAAAGAAAATGGAAATTATTATGAATTGTAAGTTTTACTTGGGTATGTCCTTGGTAGCTGACATGTGATGGACAGAGTGCCACATGATCTATCTGCAGATTTTCAATTAGAACTACGTGACTATTTTACCTAAATGTTTTCACCTTTCAGGATTTCAGAGGAAAATATCAGTCAACCAGATATGGAGGAGGGACCTACTTGCCTGGGCATACTACTTGAACAAGATGCTAGGAATAATTTATAACCACATTTGGCTTAGTATAAGACCATTATCACAGTTATAGGAAATACATATATTTCTTTATATACATATAAAAGAAAGCTGTCATGCTGCTCTAGCTCTACTGTAAATGAGACTTTGCCACCTCTGATGGCTGTCAGTTCCATTTTGTCAGCTGGGTAAAACAGCTCTTTTCGTATAAATTTTTACTGAGAATTTTTTTCCGAGAAATTTCTGCCAAGAGATTAATGTCCAGCCTAAGCAAATATTTTTAAGGAAAAAATCTGCATAAGTCACCAGTTTCTGTCAGAAAAAATATTCTCGTTTCTGTATAATATTTAGTGCTTAAAATTCACATGCTCAGACAATTCTATTATTCCTGCTGTGCACTCATTCTACATTTTAGATGACATTTCTTGGAATGCAGTACAAGATTTTATGCCACAGAGGCAGATATCCTTCACAAGGCAAGCCACAATAAGACCTCTCCAATTCGTTGCACCTGATTATATTCCTCCCTCCACCTTCCTGAAGAAGAATCGAGTCCCACAGCTCGTCTTCCCAGGTGAAACTCACATCTCATTGCTGTGGTGAGTATTGGTTTGTCCTCATTTTTTTGGGGTCAGAAATAACTCTGGAGTTAAAAATGGGACATTATAGCTTTTTCTAAGTGGAAAGTAGTTTAGCATATTTGGTGGGTGAGAAAAAGAGGTTTTCCTATTTTTCTGTAATGCTGAAAGAGTTTGATAGATTTTTTTTATTAAAGAGGAAAATACTAAGATCATTATCCCACTGAGGCAGAGTCCAGGTAGGGAAAAACTAGGTCTTACAAATCGATTTAAAAGAAAAAACCACCAACAATTCATATACAAGAAAGGGAAGACAATGCAGTATTAACTGCAATGTGGCTTACATTACTGAAAAAGCTTATCACTTTATTTTCTTCCATCTGTTAACATATTTTACTCCTTTTATACTACTTTATCTCTGCAAGTTAAGACAAAAGTCATTAAGTAATAGGATTTTTGAGGTCATCATGCCATCTTTCCTGTCAGGAACATCTCACATTGCTGTATTTTCTTGGCTGTTACTTACGAACAAAATCTTTTATCCAAGAAAAATCACAACACAAGCAATAGCAGAACAAATTGCACCATCCTGCCTGTAACAAGCCCCCATCAGGAGATGCTGCCTGAAGGTGTGAGATGTGGGTAAATTTAGAGATAATAAGTATTCAGGAATGAAGTAGCTCTAGACAGGCATGAATGATTTCTGAGTTTGTGAATTTAGATCCATCAAGATAAGGAAATTTCTATCTTGCGCTGATTTCAACAGAAGTCTAGCATCTGTATACGCATACAAGTGAAGGAGACTGAACGGGATGGGAAATGCTGTTCCTGCATGCCTTCTTGAATTGTCAACACCTGATTTCCATCAGGCATAACTCAAAATATCATTAGGATACTACGGCAAGATGAGAAGCCACAATAGTCTTCTTTTCAATCACTTGTCTTCAAAAGTGTTTTTTGAGAAAGAACGCAGTGATAATCATGTCATCTTTCAAAGTTAAAAGTAGTCAGGATCTTTTCTTCCCTTCTGACAAGTAACAGTCTTGTCCTTTGAAAGTCAATTTTATAAAGGAAAAGAGGGAAATATAGTGCATAACAAGTAAGTATTGTTTAGACAATACCTCATATGTGACAGGTTATCCATATGCTCAGAATATCTCACAAATGTATCTCCAGTCAAAGCTGCACATATAAACAGAGCTTTGACTATGGATTATAGCAGGTGGGTGAAAAAAGAGGATTCAGCTGTCTAAGAAACGAGTAACACAGTTTTCTTATGCAAACCTGAAATTTATTAAATATTTACTGTGGCACATGACATCTCTAGGAAACTCTGGACTATGAACACTCATTCCTGTGCTTTGTAGACACCCTCGTGCCTTATGTAGACGCATACTGAGCTTCACAGAATTAAGTCAGTAAATCACAGGGAAAAAAAAAATCAAAGGAAATTCCCTCTATGGTTATTTTCTTTCTTTGTATTTGTGTGCTTCCAAATATGAAGACAACTCTTTACACCTCTGAAAGTGGCAAGTCAAAAGGCTCTTGTATTACCTCTCAAAATTGCACTGCCACCCTGCCAGTGCAGAGCACCAGGCTCGCCTCCTCCCCAGGCCCCCAGCACCGGGCAGACAGAAAAAACAATGTCTGCAAAATAAATCTTGCAAAGTGGCCGTTTGGTTTAAACTGCTCTGACTGAGGTAATTTGGATCCATGCTTTTAAATAGCAATTGAAAACAGGACTGAGTGCACAGTGCCAAGTGGGAAAGAAATAGATTAATTAATGGTAAATCAGACTTGGAAAAAATTTCTCTGTATAGTCCAGCCTATCGAGATCTGTAAAATGCCATTCACAACTAAGTAATTTTATTTTCTTTTTCTTGTCTACAATGCTGTGTAGAGATCCAGCTTTTACCATGTACGTGCAGACCTGTTTACATCAGCTCTCCACCATTACCCAAGTGCTGTAATTCATGCCCTACGTCAGCTCGGTAACATCCTGCAGTTGCTCAAATGCATGGGACCTCTGCATCCTCCTGTCATCCAGTAACAATACTTCTCTTGATTTTGATGGAGGAAGAACAGCCTTTCAGCCTCTTCTATGCTGTAGCTTCCTCGAAGACTGCCTCATTCACTCACCTTTAAAAAGGTCCAGGCCTTTAAAACTGGACCCTGGATGATGCTTTCTCTTGTTTTCACTGACAAGTTTGCAAAGTACCTAAAACCCTGCAGATTTCCTTTGGAATTTGCTCTGAGGCATGACTGGACAGGCAGTCCAGTACCGGACTTTTCTGTATGCTGGAGAAGGTTTGTTTTTTGCATAACAGATATTACTTGAGCATGTCATTTATGGATGACTCAACGGTGAGTATTACTTTGAAGTTCTCTCAGGACTTTCTCTCAGCCTTTCTTCAGCAGAGTGCCGTTTCATGAGTAAAACAGGAACTGACTTCTGTTACTATGTGGTGAATAATAAATTCATTTATAAGACTGCAAAAATTTAATGCAAAATTCAGTTAAATTTCTATTCAGGTATCTCATATCCTCCTCCTTACTTTCTCCTGCACATTAAAGTAGAAATATTATTTTCCATTTCTTTTATTAAATTTTATTTTAATGCCACCATGCACGATTGAAAAGTTCCTGCCTTTCTACCTAATGGAACTGCATTCTTTTCTATTAATTTTATTTGAGTAATTTCAGAAGTCTCTAATCATCCACAGTTTGTTCATTTTGGGACAAAATATTTTAGACACTTCATTTAGAAGGCATGAATTTGACGCAGATAAAGCAAGGCCCAGCCTCCAGCTGAATATCTAGGAACCAGCACTTAATAATAGTTTATTTCTGGTGGTAGAGCCCATTAGTTACCAAGCAATTAGGAAACAGAGGCCTGAAGAGCCCCAGATCTAAGTTCCTCACATATACATTTGCATCAATTTAAGTTATAAAGTATTTTTAAGAACCCTCTTTGTGAAAAATACAGGGCAAATGTACTTTTTTACTATTAATAGAAGTTTCAAGTAGCATTTCTCAGATGAGAAGAATAGGGTTGTAGGAGGAAGAGATGTGATAATGGGTCCCTTGCTATTTGCAGATCTATAAGGAGAGAATACGTAGGTTGCAAACAAGATGGATATTGGCATGACTTGAAGCACTTATTAAAAAATCTGGGATGAAGAGAAACACCAAGGGAAGCAACTCTTCATAACCCTCTCTAGAAACTGAAGTCTGTCCAGTCTTCTGTCAACACCCATTTTAAAATCTACTGCTGTGAGAAAGACAGAAGTGCAAACATATGCAAATACACATTTTCACTGCTGCATGCATTTTCTTTGAGATAAGAGAAGTTGGCTTCAATTCATTCCCTACACCTTTTAAAATGGGAAAAACCACTAGAGTTTATCTTCATTATTTTATTGACATCACTGTCAGTTCTGCCTTACAGCCTGTCGGTAGCAGGTCCCCATGTAATGCTAATTCCCGGATCCTTCACTGCTGATGTGCTTCGACACATCAGTTGCGTAGCCCATGACTTCCCCTCACGTGGCAGGTCGGTATTGCTGCTGTTCCACAGGGGAACAGCAAGGCAGGATGGTGAACATCCGGACTGCCAGATGTCACAGACAGCAGTGCTCCGTACCTGACACAGCAGTGGGACTACAACCAGGAGCAGAATCTGCCACTTCTTTGAGTAAAGGCAATGTGAATGCAGCAGGAGGATGCATTTGCTGCTGGATCCAACCAACTTCCTCAGATCTGAATCTGTAGCCATTACGAATCACCCTGCAGAAGTGATTTAATAGCGAACACTGAAAGTGCAGATTTATTCCCAAGGGTGAAGCAATTGGTCCAGCAGTTATTTATTCCTAACAAACTAGCACTGTTGCTAAATACCTATTTTCACCAAGCAGAAAACATTAATGTGACCTGATGGAAAGCCATTAGCATGCTGTAAAAGCTTGGGTTTTTATAGGCATGCTTCCATTATGGACTTTTCCAGCTCTACAGATACTATTCTATATGCATTGGTGGTGAAAATTAACAATATAATGTTTAATTTTATTCTTTCAGGGAGGGACTCTCAAAAGTATGCAGTGCCACAAATCACCATTAAAACTGAACTTGTAGAAGCATAAGATTAAACCAATATTGAACATTCTCTCACATCCCATTTCTACTCCAGCCTAGCAACACAATATTGTAAAATCTCCAGCCACTTACAAAACAAGCCTTATAATTCACATGGCAGGTAACTCTAAACAAAACTTAGTGCCTAGGAAGTACATGACTTTTAATGTCTAGCTTGCTGCCATATTGCTCTGGTACTGTGTGACAAGCAAGAAGTCCACATTGTCCAGAAAAAAGTTACAGTGCTACGTGACTCTGTATTTCACAATAAGCAAGCTATATGACCAGACTCACAGAATGTGCATAACCTGTTTTATATCATTTGATTTCTGTTATCAGTCATCTATCCAGCATGTATCTGATACTTTATCATTACTGTTATTACTGTCATCATTCAGACAAGCAGTACTATATTTTTACCAATTAAATGTGGACAAACTGGTTATTATTGTTTTACAATATTAAATAGTCTCTTAGGTAAAGACTGAGAAGCAAATTCCCTAATTCCTGGATGCCAAAGTGCAGCCTGGGAATGTTCCTTGAGAGCTAGGCTAGTTTCAACTGTATCTGTACTGAATAAGAAAAAAAACAACAAACAACAACAAAAAACACCTGCAAATGCAGAGAAATTTAAAAAACGAAACAAAATAAAAGCTTTAAAAAGGCATATTTAACTACTGAGGTTAGTGCCCCTTCCATACAAAGGAAAACTGACGTTGCAGAATTCTGCATAGAAAAATCACTAATTTTAAATCTCCTGCTTTAAAAGATGCAAACTTCCTGACGTGGAGCAGAACTAACGTGTTTTGGTAAGGGGACCAGACACATAATGTACGTAAGAAATTGAGAATACTGCAAGAGAGCTCATCTTAACTCAAAGTCTGAAATTTTAGACACGGTGTACCCTGAGCAGCAAGAGGGAGTAGGTGGGAGTAGTCACGGGCTACTAGCCTTGTGGAAATAATTATTTCCATAAAATACCATGGAAACTGGCCTCGATTGCTGTTTGTCTCACAAGCAGAAAAACCAGAGCTGTATTTGTAAGACATATTAGTTGTAACAAGGAGTTCAGTCATTTGTCCTATAAGCCTGGAGGCACAAGCCCATTTAGTTTTGATTAAGATATGTATTGTGAAATACAACACAAACCAGAATGACATTGTCTGGTATTGATGTTACATTCCTCCAGTTAGAATTAGGACAGACATGGTTTCAATAATTCAGAAGAAAAAAAATGTTTTTGCATTTTTGAAGACTATCTAAAATGACAATCAGGTCCAAAGTAATATGGTAAAATGCACATATTTTAAACACTGTAATAACACTATTTAATCAATTTTGATATAAATGTATTATAGTGCAGAAGATAATGAGCATCTTCCGTATAATTTTTATATTATTATTCTTGGTACAAAAAGAAAATATGACAATTTTAATCATGCTGTCTCTGATAAACATCTCTACATTTTCTCTCTTCTAGGTGAGTCAACAACTTATTTCACCCTGCTGTAATTGCTTCTAAATGTGTGTGGATTATCGCAACAGGCTTAAAACTAAAGTAAGAAAAGATTCTATCAGCTTTTATGCATCAGAGTGGATCTGCTCACAGTCATGCAAAACACACAGTGTGCCCCAAAAACTGCTGCTGCAAGAGCTCATTTGAAAGTAAATATCAAGATAAATTCAGTGTTGTGCTAACTGTCCACTCCAAATGCAAGCACACACACATGCATATAAACATACCCATGTGTATGTGACTTGTAGATGACTCCAAGTGTTTTGTCTGAGATATTTTGGTGATGCAATTCTGGAAATAATTACCTTCACAAATATTTCACTGTTCTTCATTAAAAGAGGCAATGTTCTAATTTGCTCATTTCACTGAGCCCTCAGGCAATGTCTTCAAACAATAAAAAATGAAGTATTATGCCAATAATATTTATAAAATAGATGGGAATAGAGTACTTAGTAGTGCTATAAGGAAAGATACTGCATAACAAACATGCCTTAATGGTTCAAAAATGAAGGTATTTTATTGAAAATTCCTCCTATGATCACTGTTTCATGGCAAAGTTCTACATGGATATATTTGTTGCACTGCGTTTTTGGCATCCGGTGGCTATTCTTCCACAGGGATGACACCTGTGCTGATAACCACCTCTGATCCTTCTGTCACTTGTTTTGCCTCATCTTATAAATACAGCAGCAGATGCCAAGATCCTGCAGTTCAGACTGAGATGATTACAGGAGCAGCTGAGTTATTGTGAAGACGAAACAGGCTTTGATCTGAACCTTCCTTAAAACGGTACATTTAAAACACAAAGCTCAGTGAGAACTGCATAAACAAAGATTGAGAGCTACAAAGGTCGCTCTCTAAAGCTGTAGGCAAAGCGTACATCTGCTTTCATAGTACTTAATGCTAGTTCCTTTTGTGCTTGCATTAATTGTGAAAACCCTGGGAAGCTCATCTTTGCTAGGCACTTAAAAAGGTTACACTGTTTTTTCATACAAGAAAACATAGAAGCAACTGAGGAGGTTCACTTCAATTTTACTGGAGCCCACCATCTTTACTGGCTTCCTCAGGGACCTTTGCAGAGTGAAAGATAAATCCAATTTGTCCACACTTAAGCAGGATGGAGACATACTCCTGAGTCAGCATATGCCAGGAGAAACTATTTTTCCCCCTCATTAACTTTTTTGCACAACAGTTTATTTTTATTTTATACTGTGTATATCCTTGTATTTATTTTCTATGTTCCCTACTGAATGTTACTGCATCTGATACCACCAGGGCATCATTAATGAAAAACGTTGTCATGTGATGAATTATTCTCAAATGAGAAAACGCAGACAACCCGAGAAGAGAAAATGAGGAGCTGCTGGACAGCATGGGGTCCATTTGAAGATGTCCCATGGGAATTCTTACAGCAAATGGTTAGGAAAACTGATTGAAATTCAGTAAGAAAGTGCAAACGAGACAACACAGCTCCCCAGTGGATTGCAAAGATCCCCTAGAAGGAAATTAGAACTCTCTCTGCACTGATTGCACCTTGCAAAGTCAAGAAATGCGTACGTTTAGCCATGAAGTACACAGCAGTTACACAGTGTTCAGGGCAGTATGAAACAACCAATTGAAGGAGTAATCTTACTTAAGGAAATACAATAAATTTTGAAAATCAAATTTGAATGGATTTTAGATCTGAATGTTTTTTTATTAGAACCAGTTTTACACCAGGTGAAATACCATTAGCTTCCCAGGAGTGAACTGCTATCAACACACTAGCAAACACTTGCCTGGGTTGGTTCATCCATGCTCAAATACATCACCGTAACAAAGGCATTCAGAAACATAATTCTCACTGAAGGTGAATGAGGTGCACTGCAATCAGGGGCTTGGTTTCTGGGTAGGAAACTGTCTCCAGTGGTGTGAGCAACGGGAAAACTTCCCAAACGATGGGACCTTAGCTGTGTGGGAAATGATGGAGGACCTCTTCCCTTCCCAAACTTCGTGAGGCTCAGTTTTTAACACACCAGGTTTTTAACAAACCTGGCTGAACTGATGCTTCCACCACTATGGTCTCTGCTCCTCAACTGAAGAGCTGGGGTGCTGCAAAAGCCCAAAGCTAACTCTGGGTTGAAAAAGAGGACAGCTAAGCTGAACTGTGTGTCAGGGAAGACTATATATAGAAAAAGGCTCAAAACCCTACTGACTGTTGTTTACCTACCATGATATGTACCTCCTATAGCCATGTTATTTCTTTTAACAGTATAAGGAAAAGTATGAGGTGAACATAGTAATGAGCGCCTGGCCAGTTAGGTGCTGGGGGAATCAATAAGTTCAAGAAGTATGGAATGTAGTTTCAAAAATCTTCTACGAATACATATTTTAAAGAATCATTTAAAAAAATGTCATTTTTTTTTCTCAGCTCTTCATATGCATTTGTGTATGTTAAAGTCTTTTAGAGAGAGGATTGAATTTTGTGTATTCAAGGATATGATTTATTGAAAACATCCTGATTTTTTTTTAAATATTTGCACTATTAAAATATTTAACAACCAAAGAAAAGGAGGTGAGTGAGATCAAAACCATCCTATGGCATTATGAAAACAGTAAGCCGAGCAATTCTGAAAAGGATAAAAATGGCTTGTGTGAGAGGAATTTATTTAAAAATAATATGACAGAATTGGAACTGTGGCTGAGAAAGCTTTGAAAGCAGCCAGGCTGACAGAGTGTATTGTAGGGTAGTTGTAAGCCTTTGTAGAAGCAATTATTATCATCTCCCCAAAGCACAGACAAGTCTGTGAGAAAAAAAAAAAAAAAAAAAAAAAAAAAAGGCATAGAAAAGAGAAAAGCCTGGCTGGAAAGTAGACCCCTTTCTTCAAGCCTAGGTACTTACTTGCTGATGGCTTAAGCCAAACTGAAAACAACCTGAATCTAATTTAAACTTTAGTTGTTCTGCAGAAAATTAAAGACCTGGAACCATACCTGAAAGGACGGCTGAGGAAAGAACAACGTTCTGGGAGGGGGCCAGCGGCACTCATTTAAATGTAGATCTAGTGCAGTGCTTTCAAACCCATCGTCTGTCAGCCCTCATAGGTGCTCTTCAGAATAATTATTTAATCAGAGCAGCCATGGATCAATGCTCTCAAAGTGTTTGCAATTAACAAATTTTGTAAAAGGTCCAGGCAGGCATCCTGTAGAAGTGAGGATTTGGAGTTCCAGATAAAATTTTACATTATGCAAGCATCAGCATCTTTACAACAGCAGCTTTTTAATTGGGAACGCTACAGGGAAACAGAGCCCATGCTTCTGACAGGCTTCTCTTACAGTGTGCAGAGATATCTACAGGAACTCAACCTTTAGTTAAACCAATATTTTGCCTAGATTATTTCATTTATCAGTATTTGAGTACATTTGGACCATACTATCAAAATTAGGCTATGGACCTGATTCTGCTTTTCCAAGATGCTAAATTTATTTGGATGCAATTGAAAGTTGAGTCCGACTTTTGCAGGTGCAGCAGGCTATAAGACTTTTTGAATTCAGTCTCCCTTCAAACGTAGTCTCATGCATTTTAGATTTCATTGTTCTTGTGATGCACCTTAAAGATGCAAGGATATCTTTTCACACTCTTGTCCTTTTAATGTTTATTTTACTTCATGACAGAGCTGGAATGTACTTTTTCCATTTTGCTGCAGATGCACATAAACATCAAGACATGAAAATACCTGTAGATTTACAGACAGCAGTATAATGTTTGCTATCCCTGTCATTTACAGAAAAAGCAGCAGTCACATTAAAGAACAAAGTCCCATTGTTTTATTGTAAGCTAATAACCTGCGAGATGCTTTGTGTATGTCTCGTTTCACAGACTTAAAACACTCAAAAGATTAAAAATAATTTCCTACTTGATGTATTATGACTTATCATGGCTGTTATCCATAAATCTGTGTACTAGTTTAGTATAATTATATCCTGAATATAGTGAAAATAAAATTTCATTCCTCTGCTAGTCAATGTGGTCACAGGGAAACTGACAGCAGAATTGGGCAGCTTGATTTCTCTG